ATTTGTTTTTTTGGCATTGTAGATTTATCCATAGTTGATGAAAGTTAGAGACTGACACCTTCGATAAATCTTTTAAGACAGTTGCTTTAATATTCTTCTTGATATAAGCACAGACACCTCCACCTTTCTTGTGTAACCGGTCAAGTCTGTGGATCTTATAATCGTCGATTGCAATCTCACGGTTCGTTACTGAGGAATTTAACCACGATTCGGAAATTGTGAGGACATCGATATTATTTAACTTTACTAGTTCCTTGACCTCAGTAAGGTGAACGATATTTCTTAACGAGCGAATGTTTAAGTGAACAATGTTGAGACAAGAGGGAACTGATATCTGATCGTTTGGGGTTAATGGGGTACTACACGTATTTCTGCTAGTGTGGTTCTCACTAGCCTGTAGTGGGATTAAATTATTATACGCATGGACTGTTTTTCTGTTTCTCAAATTGGTAACAAAGAGAGATGGAACAGCGCAGTAGTCTTGGTGATTTTCCAGGTTACTAGTAGTTACAGGGACATTTACCAGGTTGCATGGATTACTAGTTCGTTTACGTATATTATTGTAACTTGCAATGCGATGACTTATGGTCCGACATTGTGACATAACAATAGGAATTACTTTGTTGTTCGTAGGCGAATTGGAGGCCGAGTCACACGAGGATGTAACGTTTTCCGAACAAATTCGAGGTACCTCTGCCAGTCCCGGGGACGGTGGTTTGAACGACTCTTCCGAAAATTTCTCTTACACGATCGCTGGAAATCGTTTAAAGTCGTAGATTTTCTTAACGATGCAGACTTATATGAAGATTCAATCAAAGGTAGCCGTCCCACCCACTCCGCATGTCTGACAGGCACCCCTGGGTTGCAATTTATTTCACTTTTATCGATTAGCCCAGATATATTGTTGTCGTAATATATCTCTTTCGATAAACGTTTTGTACACTTGATTGACTTGTGACCTTTGACCTTATTTGCGGTGTTTTGTTTTGGCGTTTGTCCGAAAACTAATTCACTGCTTTTTGACCTGACCTGTTCGGAGGGACCCGATTTTTCTGATTGCGTTTTTAATTAAAGTTGAATTAACTGTTTTCGCTGGCATGGAATGGGACAATTCTTCGTTCGATTGGTATGTTTCGGGAGCAAGAGATTCGCCATTCGCCAGATTAGTAATAGTATTAATTTCACACCCTGATTCCGCTGCTTCATTACAGTGGGTTGATTTTAATGTAACACTTTGTTGGTCTTCTGTTGGGGTTTTAAGTAATGAACAGTTTTCCTGCAGGGTTTTGTTTAAACTATTATCTGGATCAATACTAATTACATCTTCACACAGTTCGATGATCTCTGTTAAAGGTCGATCGCTATTACCAAACGGGCAATGGACATTGTAGTCATATTGTTTGTCTTGATTGGGTATTGTTTCCATAGCCGAGGAGGTTGTGTCATGTACAATAATTACATGACTGGAGGTGCTGTTAACGTTTACATTTTTTATTTCCTTGCTTTGTATTATTTCTGACGAGTTCTTGCTTGAGTGATTCAAAACATGTTCATCATGCATAACGGCTAATCCTTCTCTTATTTGTTCAATACTTGTGTATTGTTCACTAATTTGTTGATTGTGTTTGCCTTGCTCACTTTGAATAGTTTCTAAATGATGAATTAATTGATTAATTGCTAAGTCATGTTTAGAAATTTTTCGAAAATGATCTTGTTGTTCGCACTGCATAATAGCCAGTTCATGAGAGAATTTATCAATCAATTTCATGTTTTTGTTAATATTTTCGTGGTTTGAATGGATGTTTTTAGAAAGTTTAGACTCCGTAATAACAGCATCCAACTTAACTCCTTCGAGATCTGTAGACAGTTCACAAACAGTTCGCAAATTACTGTTTGTATCTTTAGCAGAACTAAAATCTGTATTTAGCCCGAGGTCATGCATAATCGTGCCAGTGAGTAATGTTGAGTTTGATTTCATACATACCAACTCGAAGATTTTGTTCACAGTCTCATATAATCCATCAATTTTCTTTACAGCAGCAGTCAGTTCTGTTGATAATCGGTCACAATTCGTGCATCTTTCATGATGATTCACCGTTTGAGAAGAACAATCTTTAAAGTAGCTTTCGACCTTGTCTTTATCACAAACTTCAATATTTGATGTGTTTAACTCAAGATCGCCGTTACTATGCACGTTTGTTAATAAAACGCCAGTTTCTAGCACGCCAGTTTCTAGCGTAGAAATCACCAATCGTTCCAGAATTTGGCCATCAACACCTTTAAATATCATAGAGTTGTTGTCCGCATACCATGTAAGCTTGATTTGATCATAAAGAAATACTTTAGCACTTCCCCCGGGCGAGTTCCAGACACCTCCAGCATCATATAATTCTGCCATAAAATGCTTCAAATTCTCAAAATCACCCAGCCACTTGATTCTGCCGTTGACATTACGTGTTAGATAGTCTTTAAACTTTGAAAAGACCATACAAAAGTGATTCTGACTGATATTATTTGTGTTTATAGCAATACACTCATGCATAGTCGCCATGTTGTTCATCCGACGATTAGTATCGATGAATCATAACATATTAATAAATAAACGTAATATGAATAAAACATCATAACGTAATAAATTTAAATTATTGCACTTACTTGTATAAATCATAAGAGCTTGCATTTACAACGAATAGCTTCAAACAGGGCGCTTATATGTGCTCAGAAACATTGATTAGAACGATTGTTCAAATATGGTGAATAAATTGACAAAACAAAAATATTACATGACGTTCCAACGAAAATAACAAAAAGGATTGCGGGCGCGCGAGCGAAAAGGCGAGGGAAGAAATAAATAATCAAAGGCCTTCGAGGCCGACTCACGGATGAGAGATGGGGATATGATTTACAGCAGTTTTTTACAAATGGGAACCGTGCAAGGGCAAGGACATTATTTGAAAGGACATTATATAAAATGTTCCCAAACTGGGGCGAAGATCTTACAGGTTAAACAGTTTAATTTTAACGACATCCTCGATTTTAACAATAAGAGACCGGTCATCATTTATGGAAGGGGGGGAGGAAAAAAATAAGGGGGGGCATATGTAGAAATAAATGACTAGAAGGGGGGGGGGGCTATTACATTTTTTCAAGAAAATGACAGGGGGGTTGCAATTAAACTTGAAGGAATTTGCTTAATAATCTGGTATCCATTTGGTTGTAAATGTTGCAACTAAATCATGGTCACTGATGTGAAATAGTCTGGATTCATCTTGTCTTGTGAGTGCTGTATGCAAATCAGTCTTTACGGATTGCAGACTAGTTAAATTGACAATGTATTATTACATCAGCTCTTGATGTGGTTAATTAAATACATTTAAATTAAGCAGTTAACGGCGTTTGTATTATGCAGGCCACATCCGCTGAAGGGAGTCTGTGACGTCATATCGATCAAAGGGGGTTGTTTCATGCCTTGTGATCAGTGCTTGGGTCTGGGTATTCATTCTGCCATTGTATGCTTTGCCTAGCTGCAGCAAGTTTTGCGCTTCGATACCTTTTCCCGACCCACCCACCCATGTTCATTCTAAAAGATTTTATCTGGTAGCTAGTATATGTCATTTTATTTTATATAATTTTAAATGTCACATAAAATAGGATGTATAGACCACTATACATTGTATTTCGCAGGTATGCCTAGTTGCAGAATTGTCATTGCTATCTCCTTTTGCTGCTAATATTACTGATTGTTGCTCTCATTGTTGCTGCGCAGCTGCTATGGCAATACTTTGTACCATCAAGTCTAGTTGCAGCCTTAAACATGGTTACAATCGCCCAGACCAAATGGAAACCTGATTTTAGTGTTATATATAAAAATACTCCTTTTAATTATAATTTTCTGCTAATAAATATATATTTTTGGTCGACGTTAATATCTTGCCAGTTCCATATTCTTATTTAATAATTAATACTATAACGCCTGGGTATCCCCATTTGACGAGTAAAAATGAAAATGGGGGGGTCAAACTATAACGCCTGGGTATCCCCATTTGACGAGTAAAAATGAAAGTGGGGGGGGTCAAAGAAAAATATTCTAATATGCAGGAGGGGGCATCATTAAATTTCTGCCATTTAGGGGGGGGGCTTTCAATTTTAAAAATTTAGAAAAGAAAAAATTCCCCTCCCCCCCTTCCATAAATAATGACCTGTCCCTAACCAATATCAACAGTCTTGAAAAAACAATCTGATAGATTATTATAAAACTACACACCATCAAAGCAAATCTATATAAAAGTACAATAACCGTAGCTGTCAGGTGT